ACCATGAATAGTCCTTATTTCTTAGTAATGTAAAACAGTGCTTCCCAACTCAGGGTACGTGTACCCCTAGTGTTGCGTCAGCGCGTTGCATGGGGTACATAAAAAATATTTTCTTTCTTATGTAGTAAAATAAAACAGGGCTGGAATCTGTTTTGCTTTTTAAGGACCCATTTTTTTTTTATATTTTTGATTTCACCCTCAGCTGTGACGCACATCTGAACAAAGCAGAGGAACATCCTGGAAGTAAGGAAACAGCCTGATTTCAGCTGTTTTTCACACTGAGCTATCCGAGCTCATCAAAGCAGCTCAGGTGTCTTGATGAAAACAAAGTAAAACTAATTAAGTCAGTCTGACTATAATTGTTGTTCCCGATTCATCAAATTTAAATGTGATTTTAAGGGAGTTAGTCAGAGGAGCTCCAGTTTTATAAAAAGAGGTTTATAATATGAATTTATAATTATTTTTTTGTATTTATTTTGATTATAACATACTAACTTTTAGGAAAAATATGAATGTTGTTTGTTTTTTATTTGAGATGGAAAGTATGTAATTAATAAAATAAAAGCTCAAATTAAAAGAGACAGATACTTTATTAATCCCTGACAGGTGAAATTTACCTGCCCAATAGCGAAGATAAAAACATATAAAATAGTATAAACACCACAAACTTAGATTTAAAAATAATAATGATAAAAATCCTCCAAGAGACATTAAACTGTCTAATTGCGGCCGGGGAAAAAAGTATTTTTTAATAAGAGGGGTACTAATGGAAAGACAAAATGCCCAAAGGGGCACACAGGTCAAAAAAGGTTGGGAAATGTAAAGAGATGTAAAATACCTAATACTAGTCCCTGCAACACTGTAAGACAACCTATAGAGATTGTATTTGTTAAAGGGAGAGGTGGATTTGCTATTTGACAACTCCATTCTGTATTTACATAGGTTATCTTAGTCTGATGTCTAAATGTCTTTTATCTTCTACTATAATTCAAATGCTATAAAAAAGCAAATAAAGAATAAATGTATAGGTGGGTAAATCATTTCTAACAGTGCAGCACTGAATGTAGCATTCCCCTTCTGAATAATTACACCCAACAGAGTTAAGAAATCCTGCAGAATGAACATGCGGGTCACATGCTGATAACTTCATTGTTTTAGTTTTTTCTTCTGTTTGACTTTTCAACAGTTTTTCACAGATAAGAATGTTGACATTTAAAATGATGGGCTGAGAGCTGGAAAATGATTAAAAGTTATATTAAGATCACAAATCATAGCTCAAGGCAAGGCGCACCGCTTGATAAAAACATCCCCGCAGCAGGAAATTATGACTGCAGAGTTCAAAGACATGGAGTGGAGACAGTTAAACGAATAAACTTTCGCAGGAAGAGTTCACATGGCAGCGAGAACAAACACAGGACATCTCCACCGTTTCTTTTTAATCCGCGGCTTAAAAACACCTCTGAGATGACTCATGAAGACACCTGTGTCCTGCTGGCGTGATGGATAGGGTGGTTTGTTAAGGCTCAGAAAATCTACAGTGATAGCTTCATGTCATCACAAAGACTCCATCTATCATATCCTATCTCCTCTAGAGTCCTATTTATCCCAGCTAAATGGGAACAAGAACAAAGCATTTTGGGGCTGCCAGTGCTCCTCATGCTCGGCTCATACCTTGTCCCAATTCAGAAATAGCTGCTTATTACCATTCCTCTGATCTTTTTACTACTGCTGTACACACTAATAGGATTTAACATGGTAAGTCATCAAAGAGCAAAAATAAATAAATATTTGTAATAATACCAGAGGTTTAAAGGTTGGACTAAGAAATCCCATTTTTTTCAACTTATGTAACTGGACAAAGAGTTCTGCCTGTTGTGACTGACGTGTTGCGGCGCGGCTCAGGTGGTGCAGGGCAACAAGCTTGTTATTATTTTCAACAGAACCTGCCACCTGAGACTGGAAACAAGCAAACATTTCCCATGAACTTTGTATGACAGCTAATGCTGCAGTAGAAACACGGCCACTATTTCAGTGAGCACTGTCCCAATGCATGGTTCCTCCAGTTCAAAACTAGGAAGCATGTTCCGTCTTAGGAGGCTGTAAGAGCGATCCACAGAATAACATTAGAGTCACTGAGCTGCAGTGACGATGAGCTAAATGAAATATTAACCAAAGTGTAAATATTTACAGATGAATGACCTGCAGACTGGTAGCAGAGATTTCCAAAAAGCATGTGGATCTGTCCATAACATGTCTCATACAAAAACAACACAAACACAAGGAAAACCTCCAAACTTTAATGTAATTACCAGGAAGTTAAAAAACGAAAAACAAATATTATTTAGTTATATGGTGATCATGTAAAAAAAAAAAATCAGTGAATAAGAGGCATTTCTGGAAAATCCAAGGCAGTGCAGACAGCTAAGTCATAGTGATTCATAAGTAGAATGAAGAGCAGGTCCCTCTAGCTTATGTAACCAGGTTCATGTTGTTTCATTCATGACTGATATTAGAGCAAACAGTAAAAATGACCTTTGAATGGACACAGTGAGGGTCACAAAGAGGTTCACTTGCTACTGTAAAACAGTTTTCACTCTAAACATGTTCTATCAACCAAAACTCCAAGAAACTGATCAAGTATTTTGGATTTGAATAAAACCCAAAGTCTGAATTCAAACCTTTTATTTCTCTTAGGGGGTTGAAATAAGTCTGTAGATGCTCTACATACTAAGTATGTAGATGGAAATATGTTAATTGATGCTTATGTCAATAATGGGACTGTTGTGCTTGTCACTAGACTCAATGTACATGTCAATTTCTGATAAATGGTCATGTGTTTGTACTGTTTTAAAACTGTATTAATTTAACAGTTAATTAGTTAAATAAGTAAACCATATTACATTTTTTATAATAAAATAAAGTGTAAATTCAATTTTTTTTAAAGATAACAGGGTGAACAGGGAAATATATTGAATGAACTATCAATATGTTGAATACAATTTGAATATATTTAATGAAACTTCAATATTGAATTAAACATATATATATATATATATATATATATATATATATATATATATATATATATATATATATATATATATATAGAATAAAACTTGAATACTTATGGTTATCTGAATGAAATTATGAATTTATTAAAGTTTACTCCGAATATATTGAATAAAAGATGGATCGACGTACAGGACTTATGGGTTATGTAGTTTCAAAGCATGCAAACATGACTGAAGACTTCAGCGACTCGTTTGTAGCACCGAAGGCTTTTGGTCGGTCAAAGGCTGTTGCAATGTTATCAAGTTGTTTCCATTTAAATTTAATAATTTACCGAATGAATTAATGTTTAAACAAAAGTATTTTTAAAATTATTAATCAACACAAATCTGCCTGCCTGTCTGGTCCCCTAGGTTAGACTTTAATCAACAAGAACATAAGTTGCTCTGTATTACAATCAGGTGACTATGATTTTATTTATTGAAGAAATCAATACATAAATGTGCCAAAATGTTTATTCAGTTAGCTAATACTAAAACTGAAGCAATAATTTTGGATGAAAAGAGGAGCAATTAAAAGTTAGCACACAGCTTCAGTCATTTCACCTAGAAACCACTGATCAGGTTAGAGACCGGTTTCTAGTGATGAACTCAGACTTTAACCTTCAGAGGGAAATAAAGACAGAAACAAACTCGACCTTCGATCACCTAAAGAACATCTTCAGGATTAATGAACTAATGTCTCAGCAGGATTTCAATATGTTCATTTTTTTGGTAGAATTGATCATTGCAACAGTGTTTTCACAACTGATCCAGAATGCTGCTGTCCACATCCTAACTAAACTAGGAAAGTGGAGCAAATCACCCCAGTTTAAAGGCCTTACACTGGTTCCCTGTATCTAAAAGAATAGACTTCAAAACAGTTTATCACTCACTGAATGTCTTGAACACATCAAGACTTGCTATCATTGTATCAACCACCAGACCTCTCAGGCAGGATGACCAGATCTAAAGACAAAAAATAAATAAAATAAAATATTGAACAACTAGGTTTGACAGTGCCGGGCAGACGCTGCTTTTTCAGCTATGCGTTACATTTTGACTCACTTTTACAGTGTTGTTTAACATCATCATGTTTAACAAAAATTTTTTTTTCAAATTTCACCCAGTCAAATGAAGGATGTACAGTGGGGCAAAAAAGTATTTAGTCAGCCACCAATAGTGCAAGTTCTCCCACTCAAAAAGATGAGAGAGGCCGGTAATTTTCATCATAGATATACCTCAACTATGAGAGACAAAATGAGAAAAAAAAAATCCAGAAAATCTCATTGTCTGATTTTTAAAGAATTTATTTGCAAAATATGGTGGAAAATAAGTATTTGGTCAGTTACAAACAAGCAAGATTCCTGGCTCTCACAGACCTGTAACTTCTTCTGTAAGAGGCTCCTCTCTCCTCCACTCGTCACCTTCATTAATGGCACCTGTTTGAACCCGTTATCAGTATAAAAGACACCTGTCCACAACCTCAAACAGTCACACTCTAAACCACCATGGCCAAAACTAGAGAGCTGTCAAAGGACACCCGAAACAAAATTATAGACCTGCACCAGGCTGGGAAGTCTGAATCTGCAATAGGTAAACAGCTTGGTGTGAAGAAATCAACTGTGGGATCAATTATTAGAAAATGGAAAACATGCAAGGAAGTCTAAGTTTTTTTTCCTGCTTGGATTTCCTACCTGTGATCATAAACTGTACAAAATCCTGGCCTAAGTGGTGATTTGGAAGATACTCTGGATTGGGAGCAGTGACAACAGCTGTCTCAGCTGTACAGGTCCTGAACTTTTGGGTCTGTTTTTTTTTTTTATACATATATATTTTAAGCAGGTGACACAAAGTCCAGAATGTAACCAGAGTTTAAGATAAACATCAACTGCATGGGGCAAATAGAGGCGGGTCAGATTGAACCGTATCCTCGTGACTGATTGGATGAGTTACATCTTTAAAAACAGAGACTGTGTCGAAAGCAGTGTTAGTACAGTTTAGTGAAACAAGGGAGGACATCTTTTCTGCAACCAACAGGGATAAGCCATGAGTCAATGCCCGTTTTTTGAGAAAAAGCATTTGTACGTTCAGGTTATTGACTTTAAGGACTTCACTTCTGCTTCTCCTTCAACATTAAAATGCCATTGTTTTTATTCTGTTCTTAGAAAAACCTCATATCTATTGGCTACCATCTTCTGTCTTGTAGGTTATTCAAAAACAAACCTCCAATTGAGGGAGATGACGATGCCTCGCAAGCAGGTGTAAACAAGGCCAGTAAGGGAGGAATCATCTATGGAGACTACCTACAGGTAAATCACAATGATTTCCTCTTCATCCTCGGGTCTTTTTAAAGAACCAAAATACTAAATCAATGCTTTTGATGTTTTATTTTAATCCAACCCTTAGCTGGAAAAAATAACCTCAGCTCAGGTTTTACAAAGTGAACTGAAAGGCAACAAGATCCACGATGAGCATCTTTTCATTGTCACCCATCAAGGTACAGTTAAATACAAATTTTTCTAGTTTAATCAAACAGAAAAAGACATTTAGGATTCACACCTGAAGGTTAATGACCTAATTTGCTGTTCGCATCTCAAATTTCTAATATGACAGAGCTATTCATGATGATTGAACCTTTGATTTTTATTTTCAGCCTATGAACTGTGGTTCAAACAGATTCTATTTGAGCTTGATTCAGTGCGGCAGATCTTCATCAGTGGGCATGTAAGTCACACAGAAAAGAACATTTTGCACCAATCGGTTTAGATCCTCGAATGTTTGGGATTTAAAACAGCTCCTAAGAGTCAGATCTCTTAACAGCACTGAAACGGCATATGAAAGTTATGTTTAAAATTGTAGCTCAGTCAGGTTAGAAACCTCTACTTATCCTCGGGGCTCATGTCCTGGATTAAATCGCCCTCCAAAAATGACACACATCCTATTACTACAACTTTTATTTTAGTATTTTTTTTAAAACTTTATTGCAATTATCATTTTATTCCTCCTCACCAGGTCAGAGATGAACGCAACATGCTTAAAGTCAACACTCGAATCCACAGGATTGTAATGATCTTCAGACTGTTGGTCGACCAGTTTGCCGTTCTGGAAACAATGACAGCCCTGGATTTTTTTGACTTCAGGTAAGCTTATCAATAACAATGATAACAGTTATAATAGAACTTTATTGATCTCACATTGGAGAAATGCACCTCTCTATTTAACCCATCCCCTTTGGGGAGCAGTAGGCGGCCATCGTGGGGCACCTAGCGAGCAATTGGAGGGTCTTTCTCAGAGACCCAGAGTGCCAGTCTGTGGGAGTGGCGCTCGAACTTAGAGCTTGGAATCCTGAGGTTCTATGTCCTAACCACTAGGCCGCCACTCCCCCAAAGTTATATATATAAATAACCTCTGAAAATGTTTATGAGACCCACTTCCTGATCATGCTTTATTCCCGTTGCGTTAAGTGTGGATCGTTAAATTGATCTTGGGTCTCCAGGGAGTACCTGTCTCCTGCCTCTGGGTTCCAAAGTCTTCAATTCCGGCTTTTGGAGAACAAAATCGGGGTGCCGGACAACCTGAGGGTTCCCTACAACAGACGTCATTACAGGGACAATTTTAAGGGGCATGACAGTGAGATGCTGGTGGAGACAGAACAAGAGCCAACGCTTCTGAAGCTCGTTGAGGTTCGTCTTGGTGCTCCATACACATTACTATTGATTTACCTGATTTAGCCAACGAGTTAATTACCACAGGGTTACTCTATGGTTGGATCTGCTCTAGAGCAACATCAGTGCGACTTCTTAGTGAAAAAATGACATTAAAGTTTTGGGCGATTCTTACAGGAGTGGCTGGAGAGAACACCTGGCTTGGAAGTGGATGGATTCAATTTCTGGGAAAGACTAAAAATCAATATATTCGATGGACTGAATCTGGAGGAGAAGAAAGTCGAGGTAAGAAATAACTTTAGCTCCTAGAACAAACATTCCCAGCTTCGCCCCGGAGTGCACGGATGATTGACAGAAGTTGGATTCTTGTTTGCGGGCATTGTTTATTTTTGTAGAAAATGCCAGAGTCTGAGGAGAAAGAGGAGCTGATGGCTGAGCTCGTCAAACAGAGAGAGCTCTTCACGTCCCTGTTTGATGAAAAACGTCATTACCACCTGGTCAGCAAAGGTAGCTCTTTAATCAGATGTCACAAAACATTAGAGATGCCCTCTGTTTGTTCTATGCTTCCTTAAATTGCCTCCTGTGGAGTTTGAACTTTTGCTCACAATGCAGCACAAATAAACACAATTTATGTTGCTTCAAAATAAAGGTATTTTTTCATTTTTGCTTCCAAGGGGAAAGACGGCTATCTTACAAGGCTTTACAAGGTGCTCTGATGATCTACTTCTACAGGTATGACAAGCTTTTCTTTGTGCTTCTTTACCTCTAATTTTCCAGTAAAACTGTAGCATTTATACTGTACCATTACAGCTCATACATTTTTTATATCTGGAAGGTGTTGGCACCTCCAAAGGGACTTCTAACTTAAGAACATCTTAGTGCAAGTTCCAGAGGCAGGGGTGCTCATTAATTCCCCCCATATAACATTTCCATATCACAAGCCCGGTTCTGAAACCCTGTCAGCCAGGCGACACCTACAGCAGTTGTAAAGAGGTCTTGAGGAGGCTTCAACAGTCTGAGCATGTCTGTCAGTTTTTCCTAAAGGTGTCGTAGCTACGTAACACATGTGATAAGGACAGAATGTCACATGAAGCTCATTAAGGCTTCAGCAGGCCTAACAAAGTCATCCGGCAGCAACTGCAAAGTGATAATTAGTGCAAAACTGCCGGGGTTGTTGCCGGTGCCCAGGTGACAGCTGCTCTCATTTTACACCCATTAAAATTTTGTAGGATTTTCATGAGATGTTTAAAACATAAAACCTTGCCTTACCTTTCAGGGAAGAGCCGAGGTTCCAGGTCCCCTTCCAGCTGCTCACATCCCTCATGGACATCGACACCCTCATGACAAAATGGAGATGTAAGTATTTTACAGATGATGGGACTGGGTGCATATATGGAAACACGAAGAGAAGTTTCAGTTTGCTTAAAGTTAGAGCTACATTACTAGAAACTACACTTAGTTAAACCAGAGTTAAGATTTACTCACGACTTCGAAAGTACAAATTTCTGAATGTAAAGAAAACTAAGAGTTGTATACTTCAAAGGGCGGGTGGAGGCATCCTTTCAATATGTTCTTTACAAAATAAAATCTAAAAAATATGTGCATTGTATTCTATTTCCTTTACATATAACCTTAATAAAATCCAATTTTCCCTAAGAATGTCTGACATCTAACTAGTTTATGAAGTCCAACTATATGTAAGTTAATATCAATATAAATGCTGCTGTTCTATTTCTGGCCTCAGAGGTTCTTAAGAGAAAATTACATAGCGACTAGCATCACAAAAACCAAACATACCTAACAGAGGGGTGATGGAGGAAGCTCTGGTTGAGCCTCAAGCAGCGTTAGGTTCTTAAACACCAAGGTTTGAAATTCTCCCACAACTCTTTTCAATCCATCATCTGAACATGTAGCAAGAATGGAGCCTCTGCAGACTATTCGAGGAGAGCATTATTTAGAGTAGTGAGCACAAGGCCAGTGGTGACTCTGGAGGAGTTGGAGGGATCCACAGCTCAGGTGGTAAAGGTTTGTACAGGAAAAGACAAATCTGAGTATTATGCTTTGGATCATAATACATCTACTGCTGAAATAAGCCAAGCAAAGTTATACTAGGGTCATATACTGTAGCAGATACAGCTAATATGTGGTGCTGTGGTCAGATGGCCTACTTGCAAAATGCTTAGTATGACGGAACAGAACAAATGGAGATCAGCTAACACATGTTGTGACATAGTGGTGGATGCAGTAGGCTGTGGGCAAGTTTTTCTTCAGCAGAGACAGGGATGTTGGTTAATCCTAATTGGAAGGTGGAATGGAAAGAAATAAACGACAGTCCTGGAAGCATAAAGTGCTGCAAAAGAACTCCAGAAGGGGGAGGTTTGACTTCCAACAAAACCAGAGTAAACTCAGCCAGGGTTACAATAAAACAATTTAATGCAAAGCATTGAGGTCAGTCTGTAGATGTGCAAATGTGTTACCGTTTATTCATAAATCAATTTTAAAGCTATGCACCATGTATCTTGTTATTCCCACTGCTTGGTTTTGCTCTGTGTTGATGAAACAAAATTCCATCGAAAATTTGGGTTGAAACGTCAAAAATGTGGAAGTTCAAGAGATATAAATACTTAAAACAGTGAGGCTGATATGGAACCAAATATAACCAAAGATGTTTGACTTTTTTCTCTTCTCTCTTCAAGACAACCATGTGTGCATGGTACACCGAATGATTGGCAGCAAAGCTGGAACAGGGGGCTCATCAGGCTACCAGTACTTAAGATCCACTGTCAGGTATTGTTTCATTTCCACTTCAGTCTCATGATTGCAAACATTCCTTTGCAAAGCCTTTCAAAGCTAATTTAGAAGAGGATAGTGCAGTGATATTTTGCTCATTAAAAGAAGAACCTGTCACTTGGGTATTGTCTCCCAGAAGGCGAAGACACAAAACTTTAAAAGACATTTTCAGAATAACATTTGTTGCCCTTAAGTTGTACCTGTGCAGCTATCTTCCAACCTCATAATTGTATGTTTTTTTTTTTTTTATTTAGTGACCGCTACAAAGTGTTTGTGGATCTGTTTAACCTGGCTACATTCCTGGTGCCTCGTCACTGGGTGCCCAAACTCAACCCCAACGTTCACACCTTCCTGTACATGGCCGAATGCTGCGACAGCTCCTACTGCAGCAGCGAGGACTCAGACTAAAAGTGCATCTCTGCCGTCTGTTCTGGCCTCCCTTCATGGTGGCAGATGTCAGCCATGGGGTTATTTGCCAAGTGTGTAGGTGTACTGTAGTTCAGCCCCTCTGTCGGGCCAATATATAAATGAGTCAGAGCACCATTTTGACATCAGATTTATTCAACTTCACTCAAGCCAAGTAAGGACAGTAGTAAAATTCATGCGAAAAGAATAAAAATGATCATCAGTGTTTTATACCAGGTGTTAGGTTGGCTTAGTAGATTTGTGAACGAAATTCAAAATTAGGTTTTTATATACTAAAGTTCAGCAAGAGGTAGAAATTAACCAGAAAAAAAAAATCCAGTTGCAGGGCTTGTGACATAATGTCTGACATTAAATATTTCACGATGCCATATCAAGCTTTTTTTACTTTAATCTGGCCTCTGAGTCAAAGTGCCGCAGACGGTTCCTTGATAAGGCCTGCCTAGATGTAACCCTATGTAAATGAAGGAGAAGTGACCTGGAGGCAGGCAGATCAGTGGGTGGAATGATCAAACATTGCATGAAGGCACAATGCTGCCGGGTTTTCATGCAACGCCTTTTATGTCAGCATGTCGCAATGGGCCGCTTCACACAGATCCGAAAGAAAAGAGTGTAAATAAGATGAAATCTCAAGCATTTAAAATGCCAACCACTAAAGCAGGGAGATTTGCACGGCTTAAATCCGTAGACGACATTAACTGTGTACATAATGCTAATCATCTAGCTCTTCAACTTCTGTATAGTATTCTAGATAATTTTGTATTATATTTATCAACTAATTGATGATGTATTTGTAAAGAAAATTGACAAGTTCTGCTGTATATTTTGTATTTAATGTCTGTTTTGTACAGTGAATATAAACACTTGCAAACATAAAAGGGGTTTTATTTGTTTGAGTGACACAAGATGGCTACATTTAAAAAAGAAATATATATAAGAGATACTGAACACATGAGTTGTTTCATTTTGGCAAGGGGAAGCACCCACACAGTGACTCACACAAACCCGTCTGACTCAAATAAACTCTTGTCAAAGAGAAACAGTTGCCACAGAATCTGCAATACCTGGGAAGAAAACCAAATCAAGAGCATGGTTCACCACCAAGAGCACAATAGGTTGGGTTAACACATCAGAATGCTCCAAGGATGATGAACTTACCACACATGTTGCTACCGATTTTTATATACACGTAACCCTGATCTCCCCATTCAGTGCCCCAGGAGTTCTGCACAATCCAGTAAGGTATGTCGCCTATGACAGAAAACAGCCATTTAATGAGCCTCACGAGTCAAGTTTGCTGTGTTTTTTTTTTTTTCTTTCTGCATAATTATTTCATATCATAATAAATTGTAAACAAGACTGTGAAAAAAAATAAATGCTGCAAAACATCAATTAGTGTTTGGAATTTAACTATTATAGGAAGTTAATATTGGTATACAGGTGCTGGTCATAAAATTAGAATATCATGAAAAAGTAGATTGATTTCAGTAATTCCATTTAAAAAGTGAAACTTGTATATTATATTCATACATTACATACAAACTCATATATTTCAGATGTTTATTTTGTTTAATTTTGATGATTACAAATGACAACAAATGAAAATCTCAAATTCATATCAGAAAATTAGAATATTGTGAAAAGGTTCAAAATTGATGGCCCCTGGTGCCACACTCTAATCAGCTAATTAACTCAAACCACCTGCAAAAGCCTTTAAATGGTCTTTCAGTCTAGTTCTATAGGCTACACAATCATGGGGAAGACTGCTGACTTGACAGTTGTCCAAAAGACGACCATCGACACCTTGCACAAGGAGGGCAAGACACAAAAGGTCATCGCTAAAGAGGCTGGCTGTTCACAGAGCTCAGTGTCCAAGCACATTAATAGAGAGGCGAAGGGAAGGAAAAGATGTGGTCGAAAAAAGTGTACAAGCAAGAGAGATAACCGCACCCTGGAGAGGATTGTGAAACAAAACCCATTCAAAAATGTGGGGGAGATTCACAAAGAGTGGACTGCAGCTGGAGTGAGTGCTTCAAGAACCACCACACACAGACGTATGAAAGACATGGGTTTCTGCTGTCGCATTCCTTGTGTCAAGCCACTCTTGAACCACAGACAGCGTCAGAAGCGTCTTGCCTGGGCTAAAGAGAAACAGGACTGGACTGCTGGTGAGTGGTCCAAAGTCATGTTCTCTGATGAAAGTAAATTTTGCATTTCCTTTGGAAATCAAGGTCCCAGAGTCTGGAGGAAAAGAAGAGAGGCACTTCATCCACGTTGCTTGAAGTCCAGTGTAAAGTTTCCACAGTCAGTGATGGTTTGGGGTGCCATGTCATCTGCTGGTGTTGGTCCATTGTGTTTTCTGAGGTCCAGGGTCAACGCAGCCACATACCAGGAAGTTTTAGAGCACTTCATGCTTCCTGCAGCTGACCAACTTTTTGGAGATGCAGATTTCATTTTCCAACAGGACTTGGCACCTGCACACAGTGCCAAAGCTACCAGTACCTGGTTGAAGGACCATGGTATCCCTGTTCTTAATTGGCCAGCAAACTCTCCTGACCTTAACCCCATAGAAAATCTATGGGGTATTGTGAAGAAGAAGATGCAATACACCAGACCCAACAATTCAGAAGAGCTAAAAGCCACTATTAGGGCAACCTGGGCTATCATAACACCTGAGCAGTGCCACAGACTGATCGACTCCATGCCACGCCGCATTGCTGCAGTAATACAGGCCAAAGGAGGCCCAACTAAATACTGAGTGCTGTACATGCTCATACTTTTCATGTTCATACTTTTCAGTTGGCCAACATTTCTATAAATCCTTTGTTTTTATTGGTCTTCAGTAATATTCTAATTTTCTGATATGATGAATTTGAGATTTTCATTTGTTGTCATTTGTAATCATCAAAATTAAACAAAATAAACATCTGAAATATATGAGTTTGTATGTAATGTATGAATATAATATACAAGTTTCACTTTTTAAATGGAATTACTGAAATCAATCTACTTTTTCATGATATTCTAATTTTATGACCAGCACCTGTAAATGGCTGCAGGGATAGAAAAGAAAAGAACAAACATTCAAATCACAAAGAAATGTAAATGCAGTGATCATAAACCATTTGACCACAAATCTGACAGTTTTCTATTCTGCAGTTAAATTCGCTGGCAGTTCGGATATGGAATAAGGCTGCAACTAAAGATTACCTTGCTAATTGAGTAACTATTTTTTTTGATTAACAATCAAATCATCAAGTTGTTAGTAGGAAATACTTTGTAGGATCTTAACCAGGTTAAGATAAATTAGGCAACTCTGTGAGGTTTGGACAGAATATTTATAGACAAAGGTTTTTAATCTTAATTGCAAGATATGTTTTTTTAGACTGAGTGGGTTGTTGTCTCAGCATATTGTGTATCTTAAGTCTGCATAGCAGAGTTAATAATCCTTCATCTACTAATTATAGAATATTTCTGAATAGTTTCTAATATTTTACTAATAGTTTAATCAAGATTTATCCGATTGTTGCAGCCATGATATGCGATACGATAAGTCCTTTTTTTCTGTATTCAAATCAAATAACATGAAAAAAGGAAATAAACCCAACATTCTCTTCTTTTTTCCTCCAAAAATTTATTTCCCAAGCCAATATTTAATTTCCTGATCTGTGGCCATTGTTGATCAATAATGACACAATGCATAAAACGTAAAGGGCTTTTTCCGCCCGAAATGGGAGGCTCTTAAACTTAGAAAGGCATAGACTGCCTCGGTGTCTGTGGTGTGAAGGTTTGTACCAGTCGTGTCGTATCCAACTACTAAGACGGCGTGGTTAGACCATTGGCTGGAGCAGTGGTGCTGGATGATGCCTCCCAGGTAATCCTGCCAACTGACGGCATCCACAACAGCAGCCAAAGGACCGAACTGCACCAGCTGACCCATCATCGCCTCCTCCTGACCACTGAGGAGAAAGGGAAAGTTCAGAAACATGACAGCTCTCTAGGTAGATTCTTCGGCCTTTTGATTAGGCGGTTATCAGAGGAACACAGCTGAGTTAGAGATTTAAACCAGGAAATGCTTTAGAAAGCTTTCAAAGACTCTTCAAACATTTCAAAGACGTACATGCTTCTCTAGTAAACCCGATCTGTATCCAAGTCTCTCATTAGTACATCTGCGTTTGAAAAACTGTGACATATATTCTCTTATCTTCTATGGTGAACATATGCAGACCCCCTTCTGTTACCCCGTCCTGTCATCCTGCCAGATGATTCCCACTGGGGGTATCTGTGGTGCCCCTGGCTGCCAGGCTCATTACATGTCATCTATAGGGCCTCTTCCTATGCACTGAACTCTTCTAAAAGGGGCACTTTGACTTTGTGATGGTGTTTGTCTTTGGCTGTGCTGCAGTAGAGATCTGACCTCCTGATGAGACGACTTCTAGCGGAGACGTCCTGCCCCTGAAGACGGGGCAGGTCAGAATGAGGCATTTTCATGCTGGATCAGAGGATTGTAGGAAAGGATAGAATGAGGAACACAACTGGTGGCATGACATTGACATTTGCTTAGACTGAGGATCTTTTTTTAAACTTTGCTTTAATTTAAAGTTGTGCCTAACGAGGCAAGGTTGCATTTAAGATTCAGTTTGAAATTCAGAACAATATTCTTCGACCCTGATAAGTTCAAGGTCATTCAGAAGCAGAAAAGAAGCAACTGTTATAAAAAAAAAAAAAAAAAGAAAATCGAATAGAGTGAAAACAGTTAAGTTTTGTATATATTCTCATTCTATAAAAACTGGAGTAATTTTACCCCATTGTAGAAAAAGATTCAAAGAAATCACAGAAAACTGACTAAACGAGGCATTAATCAAGTTCAACTTTAAGCCCTTAAAGCCGCCGCTCCCTGTTTGAGTTATATTTAAAGTACTCTCCTTCCACTGTGGGCTCAGAAACATTTCCTGTTGTTATTAAAATAATCGGAGGTTCAATTATTACTTGAATTTATCACCTCAGTTTCCCTTAATCTTCTCCCAGAGTGAGATCTCTAAATCTTTCTAGTTCTTATATCAGGAGATCTCTTAAAGTGCCTTTCAGACCACATAAATAAACTGCATGATATCCTCACAAGACACCACATTCGGAAAACAAACTTCAAAAGGTTTTAGTGGGCTGTTGTGCAATAGGTCAACAAGAAGTGTTGCATGATTGAAAAGCAGGAGGAAAAACATCTAATATGGTTTAGAAAATGTTTCATGAAAAAAAAGATCAAAAAAATATATTTTTTTTGTTGTAACACTAAAGAACTTTATATGAAACGCAAAAG